CCGCCAAAATTAAACTAAGAAAGTTACTAATGCAAAATATTTATGTTTCTATTGTATAGACATAAAATAAACATTAATTCAAGCAAAAATAAAAAAATATTCATAGTGTTCACTATGGAAGGGCTCAGGTACAGTGGTGTATTAGAGGTGAACATTTTCAAAGTATGTTTTTTCTACACATAATATTTTTAAACATTTTTTTGCATTGCAAATGTACTCTTAAATGAAATATAATATGTTGCAGTGGCTTTTCAATCTTCTGGGGAAAATATCCTACAAATTCTAGTGTTGTGCCTAGGGCGTCAAGTTTCATTGAGCCGTCGCTGAATGTGTAACTCACAACTAATGATGATTTCAGTTTAAACATTGCACACCCCGTGTAATCTAAAGATAAAAATTGATGGTGCCGGTCTTTGTAAATTACACTATACATAAGTGTGATAAGTCTTAGATAGCCAATTTTCCCTATTCGATTCCATCTATAGGAAAGACCTGTGCCCCAGTAGGGGCGACATTATTAGGCTGATGAAGATCGGAAATGCGCTATTACATACCTCACTTCCCCAGCTTGGTGATATAGGATTCTCCCTTACCAACCCCAAATAGGGGAGAGTCTAGACCAGCTACAATCCATACGCAGCTCACAAAAGTGGGCTCGGCGGGCTAGTCCAATCTTAGGGTGTTTTCACATTGCAACGATAACGACACGAAACGATACTCATATATCGTCAGCTCGGACGACAACGATATCGTCATGTGATATAATCAAAAGTAACCGCGTGATTTCAAAAGTGTAATAGAATATTCAACGTAATAATATCATCAGTGAAAAAGATACATTTCTTGATCTTTTATATTAACAGTGAAAATCTGTGTCGTCACCCGATACAGTGTGAAAGTATCTAGTAATTGTATTAAACTACCAGTCCGACGATATCGCGCAGGTGTCGTGTAGTTACAGTTATCGTTCAATATGAATACGCCTATTAATGTGCAACTCTTCTGTTCGCTGCCGAGGTACCGAATGCACGCCGCATTCGGTTTGATAAGGCAATTTTTTAGAGCATGATTCCACCCTTGTTGCTCATCAAAATATACGAATACATTCAGTGTCCGGGAAACTTCACATAGCTGTAAGTAGAAGTGATTCTATGTATATTTTATATATATTTAATCAAATAATAAAAATATTTCACTGACCTTTTATACATTGATTAAAAAGTTATCTCGGCACATAATTCAATGGTTAAGTTCAATGCTCATGATAGATAAGACATTACGTGAACAGAAAATGGTTATGGGTTGAGTGATCATATAGTGGGCAATTGCCTTTTGCCTTGCATGATCATTTGAATATATTTCTGAACATTGAATAAGTATTCTGAGGAACTAAGGCTTATGATCTTGGTTTTCCAAACTGTAGAACCTAATTGGTAATATAATAACTATTTATATCCCACAAAAATAAATATAAAATAGGGTTCCTATCTGAGAGGAATTTGAGGCCCCGAAACTTAATTGGCATAATCTTATTTTGACGAATGAATAAAAGGCATAAAAGTGGTATAGTTATTTGAGTGGCCGAATATTTGTAAGTTCGAATTTACAATTTCATGCTATAAAGATTACAATTTCTGTTGGCACAATTGTTTTTGATAAATTTAATTTTGTATGATTTCGTTTAGCATAAAAAATTAACCTATCCATCGGTAAGGTTAGCGAAGCGACCCGTAACACGGTCGGCGAGTGAAATATACAACTGTACTTATCTTTAAAAATATGTTTCTTAATTTTCTGCGTAACGATAGTTTTACTCTTTATTATTTATGCATACTTATACAAAATAAAAATTATTATAATTTTCAAAATTGTGAGTTTTTATGCTGTATAAATGTATGCCAAATGACTTTCTGCTAAATATAGTTATGCCATTTGAAGTTACGCATATTTTTTTTTATCCAAACGCAGCCGACCGACAAGCCGGTAGTTGGGTATGTGGGATTCTCTCCCGCTAACGGATTAACTTAGTGTTCAAATAAAAATACGAATTAATAATGAATACAATTCTTAAAAACAAACGCATAAAAGTATTTACGATGTTAAAACTGACATAGTATACAGAACGGTATTACGTACAATGTCTAAATCACAAAACATTTACGAGGGACGAACTTGATTACATAATAAAATGTACTATATAAAATTGCAAATTTTTTACAACCAATATGTTTCATGCCCATTGGCGTAACTACAGGGTGGCAAGTCGACTAAATGCTACGGGCTCCCAGCTGGAAGGGGCCCCCGATCAGAGGAGTCCTTACTCCTGACATTTATTATTACGCAATTAGTAAAAAAAATTAAAAATATCCGATGAATTTGCCACGGGCCTCAAACGGTATAGTTACGCCACTGCTCATGCCCAGTTTTTAGGTAATTTACCTACTTCAGATACTAGGACTTGTGAATTCTTTTCAATATGTTTAATTGATTGGAGGAGTCATTACAAAAAATGTTGAGACCCTTTCTCGGCACCTTCCCTTGCGTGCCACCGTTGCCTTCCTACGTTTTATACCCCTTTACTCTTCCTTTTTTTTTTAGCTCTCTCCCTTACTCTCTTTATTCCTAAACCTCGGTAGGGGGCTTCCGCCTCTTCAGTAACAATTGGAATAGAATAGAATAGATTTTTCACCGAACACAAATGCAGAAATAAAAAACTAATACGTTCATTAACTACCTCAATGCATGATATTAGTCTTATCATCATCATCATCATCAGCCCTTTTACGTCCCCACTGCAGGGGCTCTGGCCTTCCTTATGGATGGTTAAGGAGGATAGGCCATGACTCTCCACGCTGGCTCAATGCGGATTGGAAGGTATTAACGACTGCAAATGCAGCCGGGACCAACGGCTTAACGTGCCTTCCGAAGCACGAAGTAGCTCGAGATGATATTTTTTTTTGGTCAGCCATCCCGTGACCGACCCTTGCGAAAGTTGCTTAACGACAACGATCGCAGGCCGCGGCGCTTATCCACTACGCCTACTTATCAATATTTCAAAGGAAAGACCAGATAACCTGTGACTAAATATTTTTATTACGCATTTAAATCACATCACACCTCTGCGTTATGTTCCGTAATTAGTACTCATTGATGTTCTATTTTAATTCCATATGTTAATGAGCTTATGTAATGTCTTCATTGGACAATTTGATCTCATCTCGGCGAGTTTGTTTGATTATTTGTGCATAATAAAATGTATTATTTTATTTTATCAATTTATTAAGTGTAATAACTTTTTAAGTGAAGTGGTTGTTGATTTGGATATTTACATTTTTTTTAAATAAGTGAAATATCATGGTTTTTGGTAAGCTACAACTATGTTACTTGTAACATGTAATTCATTTGACCTGTTTACGTATTTTTCTCATTTTTAAAAACATATTGATGTAAGTACAGTCAGCTTAAAAATCTACTGTCATTTTAAGAATGTATTATTATTCATTTAAATTATTTAAAGATAGATATATATTATAGATTTAGTTTGATTTGTTTTAGGGTTCCGTGCCAAAAATAAGATCTCTCGGTGGACTGTCGGTGTGCGTCCGTCACATCCTATTTTTTTTTTAGAATCTACTGGACCGATTGAATTAAAATTTAGTACTAAATACTTTAAAAACAAATGGAACCGACTTCAAACTTTAAAAAAATGATAAAAAATACTTACCTCAAAAGCTACTTAGTCAAGAACATGCAATTGAAGTCGACCGGACGGAGGTCGAGGCTTCTGTAGGTTATTAATTAAATTATGGCCCGACTGCAAATGCATTTTCATCTTCTTGAATAAGTAGCTTTTGAGATCAGTATTATTTATCTTTTTTTTAAGTTTTTTTTTTTTAAATAATAGGTAATACTAAAAATATTAAATATCTTTATAAATCAAAATATTCGACATAGTGAAAGCCTTAGAAAAGAAGTACATACTCCTTGAACATAGAAAATTCACCTTTCGGATCTTAAATGAATTCCAAATACGCAATATTATGTATAGCTAGCTAAAAAAAGCTGAAATGTAATATAGTAATGATAAAAACTATAAACCAATGTACTATGTTTTATAAAGATTATAAGAAAAAAATCTATGATGGACTTACTCTTGAGCAGATGTTTTTGTTAACGATGGGAAATGCATTACTGCGTACCACGCCTTCTTAGCGTGGGTCAGCTAGGTTAGGTAGCGGTATTCCCTGCTGGACCCGCCCTTGAAGGATCTCGTCTAAGAGCAGGGGCATACCCACTAAAACCCACTGATTACCCTCTATGGAAACAGCATAAATTATTTCTAGAAGAGGGGAAAAATAAAGACATGACAGAAATCTATTGTAAGGCAAAATATTTTATCCCTTTTCTACATTATCAAATGCCAATAGTACTTACATTTGGTTTCACATATAGATCACACTCTTAATATTCCGAACTACGCTTCTCACATTTTATTGGTCAATAGTTATGGACTAATCTTTTCCATTGTTGCATTAGATTGTATTAAATATAATTGTGTTTTATTGTTAATATAATAAATTAAGAAAGTAAACACAAGGTCTTTGACCCTTGTCAGAGGAAAGTAATTGAGGAATTAAAAGGGGGTTCTCGGAAAAAATATATAATAAATTAGTTCCTAGTACATGAAAGAGGGCACTAACCTCTCACACACGGATGCCCAGCGCAGAGGTCAGAGACTTTTTGCATATTTATATGACAATAAATTTATCATTATCATTTTAATTAAAATAAGCAAGCAATCAAGTGGTAATAAATAAATCGATGCTTTTAGTACTCAGTACTTTAAGTCAAATATAATAAGACTCTTGTGATAGTTTCAATTACGACTTTGACTGTACCGGTGACGTCACCGGAGGAAAATACGACTTCGTGACGTATTACCGAGACTGGTGATAAGTGCCGTGATGTTTGTAAGTTTACGGCCGCGCCTCCGCAGTCCGCGTTTGTTTACGCGGCATAGAGACGTCGCGCTCGACCACTTTGGATGTATATCTATACATATATCTATCTGTATTGACATTTTTTATAAGTGATAAATTGGTTTTTGTTAATCTGGATTTGTGATGGAAGATGGTATGTTATTTTCATAGTTCGCTATTCTGTCTGGCAATGATAAGAGGAAACAGATTAGTTTTAAAATAATTTAATAGAATTGAAAATTTGTTCCTATTAATTTTTGCCAGTTATACAGATTGTATGATGTTTAAGAAGGCAGAAGCCTCCTCCAAATGAAGATTTAATGTAATTACAATGAATAAACCTACATTTTATAATTATACTGACGCAACTATTTATTAGATTCACCCGTTAACTTACCGTCGTAAGCTACGTAGTTTGTTTTATGTTTTGAGTCCACGTCCGCAGTCAATCAGGTTATCCAAACTCTCCAATTAATTATTATATTTGATCAAGTTTGCATTTACAATGCCGTATTGAAAATATTCGACAGTTGTGTTAGGTCCTGGGTAGCTCAGTGGTTAGAGCAGTCGCCCGGATTGGGACAGGTCGTGGGCCCGAGTCCTATCTCAGAGTGCCAGAGACAACGTGTATTTTTTTAACCATTTTTCATTAAGAAAATTCTCCTATTCATTTTATAGGTCGTTAATTAAATGCGTTGATATTCATATTAAAATTAAATACTTCGTATTATGTAAGTAAATCATACTGTTATACTCTAGTAGTAATCAAATATCGACCAAATAAAATACTTAATTAATATTACATTTAAAAACTAAGAAACTCAAGTTGGTGCTTTTTTGGTGTTGACGTAGTTTTTTCATTATCAGTATTATTTAAAATGTAACAATTAATCTTCAAATGGATTATAAATAAGAACTACTATCACTAGTGATGTAACGAATTGTACTTTACAGAACGAATATGAAATCTACTATTCGAATATTTTTTTTTTATTTTCATGGTATAATTCCTTTATAATAATAGGAAAATGAGAACCCTTTCTTGTTTGACTGCTGATTTTGTCAGATTCTACTTAATAAATTGATCAAAATTAAATTTACTGACGATACTTTGTGATCCAAGTCGGCCGTATAAGTGCATTTGAAACAGAAGGGTAATTCTGCTAATATTAGCTTAAATGAAAAGTCAATCGCGCTACAAATATAACTTTTTATGACATAGTTCTTGTTACTAGATCACAAAATAATAAATATATCTGTCACTATTGATTTGTGAGGAAGACATTGCGCTAATATTATTACTACAAAATACAAGAAGTTGAGATTCTATGCAGATGTAATGAGGATGTATTTAAAAAAAAAACGAAAGCACTAAAAAAGCACCTCCACTAGATGGCGACTCTAGCAAAAGTTGGTTTTTGCAGGAAACGAATAGACCAAAGACAGTCATTTCCGTTCCTATTAACTAACATCTTAAAAAACTGAAATTTGAAAAGTTCGAAGCTTAGATATCAATACAAATACGAAAAAGTACAAATAGAGTATGAGTTGTTTATTGAGTTTTGAAAACTAATTTACTTTTAAACATGAAAGAAAACCGGAAAGGTTGTCGTGGAGAAATCAAGAACGTACCGTGACGACATCTAGTTAGATTTCTGGAACTAATGTTTTTTTTTTAATACTTCCTCATTGTTACTTAAAAATTAATAGAATTGAGGCCCGCACTGGGCCTGGTTCTCTTTATGTGGTTCGTTAGGAAATTAAGAAAAAGTTATGCAAACTATATTTATGATATATCAAATAAAATATTTGTTTTTGAAATAAATAATTTAATTGTTCTATAGATCATTTTTAATATTCGCCGTATACAAATATCCAGTAAATGGCTTCTATAAATATTACGAATATGAATTCGACAAATTTTCGTGTTTGTTGCATCACTAGCTATTGCATTGTATGTAAGTATTGTGACATTGCAGTAAAACGTGATAATAGTAATTTACATAGTAATTTTAAACCACTAAGTCATTCATGATGAGTTGAGATCACGAAAACACAAAAGTTTCCTCATTCAATTATCACGTTTCTTTGAGGAAAACTATAATATGAGTAAATAATATTCTTTTTGATAAAAAAACCTTAGTAGTAGTAGTACAAAATAGATAAGGATAGTCTTTATTTCATTTACTAGAACAGGGATGAAGAATAAATCCTTATATCAGATAAAAAAAAAGTAAAAATAACAAGAATATGCATGTATATTTTTCTTGACGCAATAACTCAGTGTGTTGTCATATATTTAACTTATGCGAAATATTTACAAGGGCAAGTTACTTAGCATTTACAAGCATTTTTTTATTTCACAAATGACGTAGACAGGAATACCTCGGAAAATTTTAATTTATAATATTATTCCGATCTTTTGTGAATGTTTGCAAAATCTACTATGCTAAAGAGAGAACATGAATTCAAAATAGGTATTATTTCTATTTTATTGATGGTCAGAATTTATTTTAACGCTTCAATAAACATAAGTTATTTGTAATTATGTTTTATATCATACAAGTTTTCTGTCAGCAGATTCATCCTCCACTCTTGAAACATTCTGTATCTGTATATCTGTATGAGCAGTAAAATGTAAAAAAATGGAAACATATATCATATTATTGATGATTGTTTTGTGCCAAAATTTAACTAAATTTTTAAGTTTGGATTGCTAATTAGGGACTTTATTCACATGGGTTTTATTTTGCAAAGTAATAACACCTAGTTCGCACTGCGTGCGTCGTGACTTTTGTCATTTTTATGTAGTTCCGGTCGAGATGAACGTCTAAAAATGGACTACCGAACAATTTTCATTTGTTTGATATTACAGCGACCGCGTAACAGGCTTATTAAAATATGTCATTAACACTGGATTCATCCATTTATTGCCTTGAGAGCTATCAAAAGATTTTTCTATATAAAACATTAAGAGTTACGAAATTACACTAAAAAGGTTTTCGATTATTTAAAATGAGCTTCTATCTAATAGATTTGTTAACCAATATTTATATCTTTTCAGAAACGATTTCGTGTTATAAAACTTAAAAATTTACCGTGAATATGAGACTCAAAAATGTTTCCTATAAAGTGCTTGATTTGCATGTCTTATTTTGTAACATCTTTTTATAAGCGCAATGGTTTAGAGTAATCTCGAGCAGTGGCAAATTCCAATGTAGGTTCGCCTAAGTCATTTCACTCACTGCAGGCAGCGTCGTTTTTTATACATGATGTACTACCTAGACGCAGTTTTATCTGCAGGCCTATTCGGTAACTCAACTGCCAACCTAAAATATAATCACCGAAAAAAGTGAACAACTCCAATGTCTCAAAATCACTTATTGGTATTTTCTATCAATGTCTATCAAGGTTTGCAATTTTGAAATGTCAAAATCGGCGATTTCCACTGAACCGTAGTTTGACACTTGATCTTGTATCGATAAACTGGCTTACGGAATTTTGTATTCCGTAAGCATTAGTGACCATGAACATGTAGGTACTTCAATTAGTGATTCACCTAAATTAAAAATATATATACAGTAATGCCCCGCTTTACGCGAGGGATACGTTCCGTAAAAAATCGCGTTAACTGAAATTCGCGTATATCGAGGGTTATGATTAAACAGAGTCAAAATTTAATGAAAAAAAAAAATGTATTGTTACTTGTATTCGACTATGATATGGATAGAAATATATTTGTTTGTAGCATTGATGACCCATAATCATGTACAAATAACATGAAAATCCCGTAGTGAGATTTGCTAGGGTATTACTAAATTTTTGTTTGGCAAATTCACATCAAAAAATTGCGTAAGTTGAAAATATATTTTTTTTATTTGTGTTTAGATATTATGCTGTTTGTTGTGTCATTTGCTAGATTTAGCTCAAAACGGGATTCATTTACAAATGAAAAAATTTTGATTATTATAAGTTTATATTTATTTATTTTCTGTTACATTCTCAACAATAAATCAAACAACTAGATAACGAGTGTCACTACTGCGATAGTTTTTTGTGCGTAAGCAAGTTGACAACCTTAGCGCGACCGCCGAGCGTAGGTATGAAAAAATTATGTACCTTCTGCACGCGTAGCATGACGAACTCGAGAACATTTTGTCTACACTCAAATGTCACTTTTCTCGGGTGCGCCCATACGATATCTCACGCTCGACCCGACAAACTGACAAGTGAGTGTAGACAAAGCGTTTCTCGAGTTTGTCATGCTACGCGTGCTGGTGTATTCTGTGCCCCTGTGAACAATTTCTTTCGGTTGTCCTCGAAAGTTGCCAGAGTTACAGAATATGGGGGCAGCAAAAATATTCATTTTTCGGAGGAGTTCTTTTTCATTTAATAAATACATTATCTACACCATTTGCTTTGTAGCGGAAAGTATCTTGCTTATTTTAATTAACTCTTTTTTATTGATGTCACGTGTATTGTAAGGTTTCTTTAATTACTCTTGAGCATACTTGTTATATTTACTTACTTTGTAATCATACCGTTAGCAAATGCAGTGTAAACACGAATCAAAATTAAATAGCCCTATTCATATAATTTGAACTGGCTTATAGTGCCTTTACTGAATATCTTTCCGCTTAATCTGCTAACGCTAGGTTTACCAACATAGTGTAATTATAATATACTCCATAACTTGGACTTGCAAAAATATGGCATAACAGGATAATTTTACGCTTGCACCTTTTGCACTATTAATATCTATTTTAGATACTTATCGATTCATACCACTTATGGCCGTTTTCACTAACCTACAACAAGACATTGCTTAACTAGGAACTTAAGATCAGAAGATAAGCTTAAGCAAATTTGTTGTTTCACTAAACCTGTAACGTTAGGAAATGCCTTACTAAGCTCTTGCTTCAATTCAAATTTTACCAATCAAATCTTTCCAAGGGGCACCGACTATGAGTCGTTCTATTCTGTATTACTTAACAGAATTCTTAACTACTGGGCTTGTTTCTTTCTTTTTAGTTTTTATTTAAGTTAATTTTTTCATGTATTTTTTTAAATTCGTTTTAACGCAGTCGTTTTTTTTCTTTTAATTATTTATTTTTTTAAATACTTCCTTATTATAATGACACATTGAATGGTAAA